TTCCAGCAAATTTTCAAATAAACGTTCAAGATACCTCCAATGTTATGGTCAAAGTATATAACAATAATTGTACCATTCATAGCAACAACAATGGATTACATGATTATTATAGATTATTTCGTTAATAAAATATGAGAATTATGTGAAACATTCATTAAAACATTGTTCTGCAGAATGAATTATTTATTGCGTCCTGTCTCTAGACATCAGTATGGCTGACAGTTTGACTAAGAGTTTGATATTATCATTACCAACTTTGAAAAAAGAAATTCAGCGTGTCCCAATAGAAGCTGATTCAATACGCATTTGGGTGTCATAATGAGTTCATTAAAGACGCAAAATAGAAAAGTATATTCCAGCCCGGTATATTCTGATATTTTATCAGGAGCCCCGAGCCAGCAGAGCCGTGTCAGAGGGTCAACAGCCCGGGGCAATATCGAGCACCGAAAGATTAATTTCCGTGTGACAGCGCGGCTTCGGGATTTTCACCGGAAAATCGCTTTCCTCATTTCGAACCAATTTCGCAGCACCGAACTGGATATTTGACGAGCTTTTCCGGACTTATTTGTTTTTATAAGTGCAGGGAAAAGTTCATCAAACGGGACGAATACCTACCTACGGCATGCAATGCGACAAGAAAAACAACCAATACTTTCGTGATCGATTTTTCTGGGAACACGTACAAGGTAATTGTTTATATTTTACTCAATAGCTATCTTAATTAATATTGGTCTTACAGAAACGTTCAAATGGGCAAGCATTAAGAATTTTTATGGGCATTCTGAATCTATTACTGGAAAATACAAAAAATCATCGTAAACCTAAAAATTCTACATAAACTGGTATTTTTCAAATGGAACACCCTGTATTTTATTCTTCTAAACAGTAGAGCTCATTCTTCTTATTTCAAATAATTATACACTGTTTCCAAGATAAGGATGTCTTTCATGGGGTAAAATTGATGATGATTTCTCCGAAACAAAACGTCGTACGGAAAAACTACCAACGCTGTTTTGTAGAGATTAAAAAGTTTCATTGAGAAAGTCTGTTTTCTTTTTGTATATCTCGTTAAATAACGCCAGAACGAAATAAAAATGATCCCCTTGATAGACATCCTCATCTTGGACCCAGTGTATATGTTACGGGCAATGTAAATAATTGGGCATTATTTATAATGCCCAAGCAATTTTGAAAGTGTCCTAAGAGATTGGACAATAATGATCCTCATCTTGGACCCAGTGTATATGTTACGGGCAATGTAAATAATTGCAATTTTGAAAGTGTCCTAAGAGATTGGACAATAATGGTATCCGCTCGCGTTTATTTCTGTAACTTACAACAACTCCGTAATTATCGTCATCATATTGTGATATAAGTTAATGATAATTATTTGTGTTAGTTGTAATGATTAGTTAGTGTTAGTGACTAAGTGCACATCTATAACTTGGAATAAATTTAATTGTGGAACTTTCATGTTGATAACACCTACTCAAACTGGGTACATAACAAATACCTCGACAAATAAGAATTCAAATTTCAAAATGGAATAATTATAATAATTAAAGAGCTTTATTGGATACCCAGAAGGCTACCGACAGAGGTCCGAGCCGAGGTCCTTCCGCCTGTGTTACACAGTGATTATACATTGAGTTTAAATTCAGCATTATTGTATGTACGCAAGAATATTGAAGGAATTTCAGTCTTCTGAATTGTTTAAGCATTCCAATAGTGTGTTTTCCGGAAACTTCCGTCTTGGATTCACTGTTGGATCTCTCGGTAAACACCGGAATTGGATAATTTGGAGATTGGATTGGTTTTTGGAAAATTTCAAGGTTAACTTTTTCAGTCTCTCAGAAATTGGTTGCACCCTGGTCAGCTGATATAGAAGTTCGTTTAATGGATGGTGAAGGGGATTTTGAGCTACTTCCAAATTGTTCAGTTCTGTTTTCCTAGTGTTTATGTATATTGGGTGAGCATACTCAAGAATTGGGCGGCAAATGGTTTTGTAAATATGTGCTGCAGTTCTTTTGCTAATTCGTTTATTCTTGTAAGTTTTCATCAACTGGGTATGATGATTAAAGTTGAGTTTTTGATCTAAGTGCACTCCCAGATATTTAACTAATGCCCTAGTTCTAAATACACGATTGTTCACAGTTCCCAGTTTTTTGGATTTGGTTTCAGCCTCCACTTGTCACACCATATCATAGTGTTCCGAATTGCGTTTTGTAACTCCAAAATGGAATGAAAAGACAATAACGAAGATTCTGATACTTTGTGAATATTCGTTAGATTGTGATGTGGTCAATGTATCTATATCTACTTATTTCAAAATCACCATTTATGTTTATTATACTCTATCTATAGTATATTTCGTTTAAATTTTATTTCATTGGGTATTATTGAGTACTATCACAGGAACACATTCATAGAAAAAAACTCCCATCCACGTGTATTTTGAAAAAGTTATGATTTTTTTCGCAATTCCGAAAAAGGGGACCTGTGGGGTCTTGTCCGGCAAATTATTGTGAGGTATACAGATTATTATAGACCCTCAGAGGAATTCATTGATGTAAAATAGTTTCATCCATGGAAATATTTTGGAGGTTTAAGTAATTTCATGGCCAGCCATGAATATAAGTTAATAATGAACGACCATTGGTGGTTTGGCGCGCGCCTTGAATATTAGGCGAAGTCGTGGCTGGAACTCGTGGCTGGTTTCACACTGATCAATCTAATAGCAAGAAAATTTCGATGGTTTTTGAAGTGAACATTCACTTGGCCATATCCAAGATCACAATTTCATTGAATGAAGTCCGTATTTCTTCGAATGAAAGGATCCTTTTTTTCAGTGTACCTATACAGTACTCCTGTCTTGACAAAATTGTCCATTTGGTACACAGTGAACAAAATCAAATCCACCCCACATCTTCAATGCATATTATGTTAGTGTTGCAAAAATTTAGCATCGAAAATTACCAAGCCAAAATCAGCTCGTCCCGTAAATATCATCAATAAATCCTCAATTTTTCTCACACCTGCAACTGAAATAGAAATTGTTAATATTGTTTTGGAATTGAAAACGCATAAGGCACCTGGTATGGACATGATAAAAGCAGAAACTTTAAAACAAATTATTCCAGAAATTAAAACAGCTCTGACATACTTAATAAACAAAATGATGTAAGTATGAAGGACATTGCCCCACAGAATTCAAAGTCGCAATTATTGAACCAATTTATAAAAAGGGTGACAAACAAAAATTAGAGAATTATTTCTTACCTATTTCTCTAATTTCAGTGTTTGCAAAAATTTTCGAAAAGGTTATCAAAACGAGAGGCGTTTGACACTGTGAGTCACACGCAATTATTGGACACCCTGGAAGACTTAGAAATTCGTGGTATTGTACATCGATTAATATCCAGTTATCTGAATGGGAGGAAACAATTAGTGAAGACAGGAAATGAAATAAGTCAAGAACAAATAGTAGAATATGGAGTTCCACAGGGCACTGTTCTGGGCCCCACATTGTTCACAATTTATATCAACAGTTTACTCTCTTTGAGGAGCTCTGGGAGCATTAACAGCTATGCCGACGATACTGCTGTTTTCTATGAAGATTAAACCTGGGAGAATATAAAAATCAAAGTAGAGAACGACTTGAGTGATATTGTTACATGGTTTGACCATAAATTATCGACCATAAATATTGAAAAAACTGAATACATCGCTTTTTCTTTATATCAAAACGGTCTCCCTGAATATTCCAGCCTGAACAGTGGCTACAACAATTTGAAGATTGAATCTACTCTAATTAACTTGAATTTTGGCAGGTGTTCGTAATTTCGGTGACAATACATTTTGGAATTTTTGTTGAAATTAAAAAAATTGCTGCTCCAAGATGGCGGACAAGATTTGGTCCGATTCCATTCAAAATTGGTAATTGGGGGTTTTTGAGGTCGGAGATCATGATTTTTTTGTTAAAATTTATAAATTCAAGATGGCGGCTTCCAAATAATTTTCTGTGTTTGTATAAATAACGATAACTCCGTTGTTATCAACATAAAACTATTACTGCGACATATCATCTGTAAGAGAGAAAAAAGTTATTTGTAACTAAGTCATAGTGAGCTTTTACCTACATTTGAAAAACTAAAGTTGGTGCTGATATCTCAAATTCTAGAAGAGTTGGTATAAATTTCATATTTTTTTCGAAATCACTTTGAAAAACTGCCATGAGAATGTGAAATTCCTATTCGAATATTTTCATGAATGAAGAAGTTACGGAGGTGACATGATAATGATGAAAATCTGTTTTTGCATATAAAACGAAAACGAATAGATTTTTTTCAATTTTTTTTTCACATTATAGTTGGCCTTGACAAACTCCACATTTGGTGTCATTCAACCGACCTCGTATCTCTCACCGTTAAAAAGATACCCATGGTGAGCATGGTAAGTGGGACACACTGTATATCATAATGTTTTGTCCATACATTGTAATAATTATATTATTATAACTCATAATATTTATGTTCATTGTTTATCATTATTATCATTAACATCATTATTATTAACATTATTATCATCATTACTATAAATGCTATTATCATTGTTATCATTCCCACTACCTATCTTTTTGTTATATCATGCTTTCATTATTGATACTAACTATTAACTCTTGAAAAGTAAAATCCCACGTACAACTTCGGTTTTTGTGGGCTATCTATGTTTATTTATTTATCCATCACACGATGAATAGGTATTATATAATACAATATAATTTTTAACACATTACGATCCCACAAACTCACTGAAGATTGTGGACAGGAGTACCACGCGCAACTTCGGTTTTTGTGGTTCACTTCACCTCAATTTTTTAGTGATACATCACTACGTTAATATAATAACTGATCAATGTACCCACCTATTGTTGCTGTCAAACTATTTTTCTTGGTAAATAAACATTATTATTATTATCTGGCACCACCGCCACCACTCACCTCGCCATCAGGATGACCCGGTGCGCGAACACCCGCTCCTCCTCCCGGCCCAGCACGAACACGACGTCGGCCGAGTCGTGGTCGTCGGCTAGCCGGCGCAGGTCGTCCAGCAGTCGCGGCACGCCGGCCAGCGCCTTGTCTGCGGGCGAGCCGCCCGAGCCGCCCGCGCCGCCCATGCGCGAGCCCATCGCGCGCTGCGACGGGTGCTGGGTGGGTCGCTTGGTCGCTGCGCGCGGGCCACTGCGGGAAAATACAGTGTTGCCAACATACCTTATACACACATTTTCCCTATTAGGCAATATTAATGATTGAAAAAAAAATCCATTACCGTTACTACACCTTTTTCCGAGCCTTTTTCAATTGTAATTCAAAAAGTATTAGATGTTATTCATAAAGTATCACTTATATGAGTCAGAAATACAACCCGTATGAATCCATCCATTCTCCTAAGTTACCAACAATCAAAGCCATGTTGTCATAGAAAGTAACTACGAAATATCAAATAAATGTGAAAAAAATCGCCATTGAAAAGAACAGGTATAGATATTGTTGTTTTATCACATACAAGTGAGATTATGAATTTCAAAGATAATTTGCTCTGGCATTTCAAGATATGCCCGTTGGTCGATAGATATAAAATATTGATGTTCACCACACAATAAACCATTCGTTGATTTCTATTCCCAACCCTTATTTATGAATTACAAGTAATGCTTTCTGAATTACAAATTACGCTTTATGAATTACAATTGACTATTTTGAATTACAATTTACACTTTCTGAATTACCTACATTTCACTAATCTGAATTACATGTTATGCATTCTGAATTACAATTGACTAATTTGAATTACAATTGAGGCTTTCTGAATTACAATTAACTATTCTGAATTACAAGTTACACTTTCTGAATTACAATTGAAAAAGATGTAGTGGGTTTTCTCTACTATACTTTTGATAGATGACATTGTGTCTTATATTTTTGATAGTTGGCGTTGTGCTCGGCGTTGTGTCTAATATCCCAAACTTCAGAATAGTTCTGACCAAACACAATATTGTGACTTTTATTTTCATTTAATATTTTATACGGGTCCCTTGATGCAAACTGACGTATTTGTCATCTAACAGGGTACGGACAGATCATAGCTCCTTTCTCTTTTAATCATCTAGTGATTTTGGTTTCGTGTATTGGCGTCCCTGACATTACATTGCTGTCACGTCACATTCATAGGCGTTAAAAGAGATCTCAGAAAATTTTAATTTCATACTTGATCTTAATTCGACATTAGTCAATTATGTTTTGGAAAGATGGTAAAATGTGCTGCGTTAATCTTTATCAATCAGTTGGATGGCAAATTTGAATTTGTCAGCTTTCCATCAAATGCAAATGAACTTAGAACATGGAAAGTGAATTGCCGAATGGGGAAAATTGGTAAATACATCAGACGAGGTAAAAATAATACGAAATCACATATTATACGTTCTCATTGTGCCTATAATTATCCACCCCATAAGTTCTCTGCGATATAACAGCGATATATTTTATGCAACGATGTTGCGATATGTTATTTGTGATGGAAAAGCGATGTGTTCTGGATAAAAAGATTCCTCAAACATGGTGGGATATTAGGAACACCACTGACTTTTGATTACATCTAATATTGATGATTATGTGTTGTTGTGACTGGTTGGTGGTCTCTCGGTTCACCTGTCCAAGAATAGTTTGATAGGTATGAAAAAAATATTTGCGAATGTAGCTTCGTAACGTATACTCACATGTCTTCTTTTTCAGAGAACACGAATCTAAATAACAAATTTTTGAACAATTCTCGCGAATGAGTTTGCTTGTGTACATCGCAGCGATGCATCATTGGTGATATCGCATTATTGCCTCATCAGGAAATCTTGGCGCCATCGCGACATCTCAGAGATATCATGTCGCAGATGTGTTTGCTTATAAACATCACAGCGATGGAACGTTCGTGATATCGCACTGTTACCTAAACGCGACATCTCAGTGATGTCATGTCACAGATGTGTTGGCTGGGTGCTATATACACCGTTGAGTTCAGGAGATTCGAAGCTCTCGAAATCCATAATATTGATTGAACTATTGAAATAACAACTTTTTTATCCTTTGTTTAATTTCTGAGCTTAATTTTTGAGGAAACAATGAAAATTCGATTTGGCTCCAAATTTCAATGTAGGCGTGTTTTCAAGACTTCCATTGAGATTACTCAATAACCCCAATTGAAATCATTTTGAAATGTAGGGGCTTTTTCAGTCTCCAACCATACTGAATTTTGGCACCATGAAAACTTATACAGGGGGGTTATAAATGAGAACAATTGATTCTTCCAACTTCAACATCCTATATCTCAACAATTGAGCAAGTTAGGACACATGTTTATATGAGCTTTATTTGCTAGAATATCACAAGGAATCACCCCTTGAATTTTTCCGGTGTTATTTAAATACACCCTGTATGTATAAGACAGATCCTAAATGCGCATTCCCCAAGTGATACAGTTCGACTTCGTGAAAATCGTGAATGAATGAGGGTGACAGTAGGTTATGTGTGGTTATGTCAGTGCCGTCAGTTACGCGATCGAACTCAAATCCTGAAAGTCGAATCTGCGCAATACTCCCCCACTTCAATAATCAAAAACTTGAACTTGAGCTTAAGCTCGAGCTACACATGTGCACATACCGATCAAAACACCCGTTTCCACCAATTTTACCACTTTATGTCACTGATCAAGGTCAACAAATCGCACGCGAAATGGCGATACGAAAAACAAACGAACGTCGCGGAACAACAGATACGAGCAAGGTGGACCGAGATTGGAGGCAGGTAAACGTTGGTCTTTTGTTTGTGAAGGAGAGGAAGAGATTTTGCTCTCCAAGCGGACTAGCGTACCGTAGTTATAATTCCACAAATCGTCATCACCATAGTTGCCACGTGAACTGTATAATTCCTGTGTGTTTTTTTTAAATTCTGCGGTTCGAAATCAAAATTCAAGAATACCATGTACTTAATGTAAGCAAATTCACCTACCTCTATAGTGACCATGTCAGATCCATCGCGAAAACTGCTTCACAAAAACCTTACTTCTCATTCCGTGCGAATAAAAACTACGACTATATACACCTAAAAAGCTTCGTATGATCTATAAATCACATATCCTGTCCGTAAGTATGTAATTCGCTTATAGGCATAGTCCCTGACTCAGCCAACACATCTGTGACATGACATCTCTGATGAGATGTCGGGTTTAGGTAACAGTGCGATATCACAAACTTTCCATCGCTGCGATGTTCATAAGCTAACACATCTGTGACATGACATCTCTGAGATGTCGCTTTCAGGCAACCCTGCGATATTACGAATGTTCCACCGCTACGATGTACAGAAGCAGACACATCTGCGACATGACATATCTGAGATGTTGCGATGAGGCAACACTGCGATATTACGAATGTTCCATCACTGCGATGTACAGTAGCAAACAAATCTGCGATATGACATCTTTAAGATGTCATGATGAGGCGACACTGCGATATCACGAATGTTCTATCACTGCGATGTACACATGTCGAGGACTTCGTATTCCAGAATTTATTAAAAATTCGATATTTAAATTCTTGTTGGGTGAAAAAGAGTACATGAATATAAGTTACTCAACAAAGTGAAGCTGAATTCGCAAAATTTTGTTACACTGCTATCAAATTATTCTTGGCTGCTTACATTCCGCCGACACACAGTACATAATTCCTGATACAAATATCGGGGAATAAATACATCGCTGCACATTGCAAAAAATGCATCCCTGTTATATCTAAGAAGAACTTATCGCAGCGACGTCGCATGGATAAAACTTGAGTGGTACAGAATTACATCCCTCTGACATCGCAAGGATTTCTATGCGACATATAATGCGATATCTCAGGTAACAATTGTTAGATCGCTGCGGTATCTCTGTGATGTAACTGGATTTGCTGGGTAGATTTTTTTTGATTATAAATACTGATGCATTATTCTTTATGATGATGTGGCATCTATATCTAAATGAAGGTTCCATATATAATTAATTTGTTGTGGACAATCAGTGGGGGCAATTTCCCCTCTTTCATTATTATCAAATGGCGCCCATCAGGGTGTTTGGAACCCAAGCTTTGAAAAATATATTTTTACACCGAGTATAAGAGTAACCTATATTCGAGATTGGTTTTTCTTTTGTTGGTCAATACAAAGGTGATACTATATTATCTGTACTTTTTTTATCTCTTGAAACGAACGAAAAGAAATCCCTACATAACGTTCGAAGCACCTCGTGCGTACCTGGAATAGGAGAAGGAGATAGGTATCGGATTTTTTCTAACATCTGAAGATTGAAGGTTTTTGGGAATACTTATTTGGCAAAAAATTTCAAAACTTTGCCGCGTTCTATTCTCAAAATTTTTGAAGTATTCTCTCCTCTCATCTCTATAAATAAAAATACAAGTATTATTTCGATATACCTGTAGTAAAAATAAATAATGTACGATTTTCAAACATCACTGCGCTTGAAATTTCCCTATTGAAACTCAAGTAAAGAATTAAATCAATAGTGTATTGGAAAAGTATATAATTTTACTTATCTTTGGAAGTTGAAAATTTATATACACTGTGTCCAAGATAAGAATGTCTATCATGGGGATCGTTTTTATTCTTTTCTGACGTTATTTGAACAGATATAGAAGAAAACAAAATGCTATTTCTCATTGGCACTTTTCAAGCTCTACAAAATAGCGTTGATCGATATTCCGTACAAAGTTTCGTTCCGAAGAAACCATCATTAACTTTACTCCATGATAGACACCTTATCTTGATCACACTGTATAGTGACTAGAACAACAACAGAACTTTCTAAAATTTCAATTTGATATTTCGTAAATTACAGACCCGGTGCCGTATTTGACAACATGGCAAAGTAGTAATGAAGATTTATGGAATCCGAAAGACATTTCTATGAAACGGCCATCAGGTTTAGTGCCCTCTGCGGTGTTGCCGGAGGTTGGAACAATGATTGACCTCTCGTGTTTGGGCCAAGAGTTTCAGTTTATATTAGATGTTCGAATGAGATCCGGTTGTAATAGCATATCATACCCTCATCGTATTCATACGACCTTGGATGAAGGATATATTGCATTAATTTTCCATTATTATATTCAATGAACTCCATTGGTGTACACTATGGAAAAACTCAGTCCGTTTTGTGTGCATATTATTTCATCTCTGAATTCAGACTTCTTGTATATATGTATTAGTATAATAAGTACAGTGTGTTCTAAAAAAACACGGCAGAAAACCAGGGACACAGTTAAGGGAATATTATAATATTCCCTAAACTGTACCGCATCATCAGGAGCGCGTAATCCTTGCAGAAGAAATGAAACGACCTACAGGTATTTTTTTGCAGGAGGACCCTTTTCCGTGATCAAACTCCTGAAACAAATTTTGTTCGATATAACTGTTAAATGCTGTAATGAAATGAAAAAACACATATTTTTCTAGTACATCCTTATCTCACTTTCCGTTCATAATCACATCAGGATCGACAACATCGAGAATAATATCAGTATAGAAATATTCCTGCAATCGACAAATAATCATCGAAATTATGAAAAAAAAACGAACTTTCTGATATTACATTCATGCCAAATGCCAAATTGTTAAGAAAAAATAATACATCGTATACCAGGCCTTCATCAAAGCCTCTAACGAATCGTCTTGCTTCATTTTGTATGCTTAGATATACATAGGTACCCGTTCGTGATTTTCTGCCGTGTATACAGTGTGTGCGATTTCAACCCGCAACACCCTCCTAATTGGGAACCCGTCGACCGATTTTCAGACATACAAATTTCATAATACAGGGTGGGCCACCAGTAACGCCTCGGTCTCCAGAAGGCTAACCACTTATCTTCTTGGAATTCTTCCTCTCTAGGAAGTTGCATGTCAACATAGGCTACCATTTAAAATTATTTCGAAACATACAGGGTGTCCCCAAAAACCATAAAACACTGAATTTAAACTTTTTTCTATCGAACACCCTATATATATTATTTCATTTTGAGATTCTCCCTGGTGAGCTGATTTCAACAATCCATCATACTTGGGGTCTAGCAGTTATAATTACTGAGATATAGGGTGTGAGAAATCGAGATTTTCCAAGTTCAAGAATTTTTTGTGTCTAAACCATTCATAATTGGTCAAAACGGCTCACATGTCCCTATCTCAACTTTTGATCAACTATCTACTGACATTTAGTTGAAACGAATACAGGGTGTTGCAGAATTCAGAATCTTGATCACCCGGTATATGTCCCAATTAAATATCAGTAGATAGTTAATCAAAAGTTGAGATAGGGACATGTGAGCCGTTTTGACCAATTATGAATAGTTTCGACACAAAAAATTCTTGAACTTGGAAAATCTCGATTTTTCACACCCTATATTTCAGTAATTCTGCTAGACCCCAAGTATGATGGATTGTTGAAATCAGCTCACCAGGGAGAATCTCAAAATGAAATAATATATAGGGTGTTCGATAGAAAAAAGTTTAACTTCAGTGTTTTATGGTTTTTGGGGACACCCTGTACGTTTCGAAATGATTTTAAATGGTAGCCTATGTTGACATGCAACTTCCTAGAGAGGAAGAATTCCAAGAAGATAAGTGGTTAGCCTTCTAGAGACCGAGGCGTTACTGGTGGCCTATAGTAGTCAACGAGGTCTTCGAAAATGTGAACAAATCTGGAATATTCAGATTTTCAAGGCCTACTGTTTGTTGAAAGGGTCAAAATTTCAAAAAATACTATTCGGCTTTTTTTTTCGAAATTGTGACTAGCCTATTCCATTTGAGCAGAGCTGAAATACCCCCATATGAAATGAGGCGTTGAGAGCGAGCTAAAGTGGCCTAACCTCAAATTCAAGTTTGCGAGGAAATTAACATTTTAAATTTTGCAATATTTCACTTTGATGTTTCTCGTCTGAATTGATTCGTATGCCAAAAATGATCGGAAAAATTTGGTAATATAACATAGAAATATGAAGTGCCCTATCGAAAATTTGTGAATTTTGGAAAATGTGAATTCCGATGTGGGTTAGGCCACATTAAAATCATGAGAACGATGAGAATCACGCCTGATTCGGCAGCCTAAGCCCTAACATATTTTGAAAAGTCCTCTTTAATGAGCCGAATGTTTCATATGGTATCGGAAAAGTGATTTATTGAAAAAAATAAAACAAAATAAGTATATCTTTGAAAAAAAAATGCAGAATCGAGACATTAGGATTCAGTGTTTTCCTCTTCTATTGAATTGTCATTCTCGGCATGCTCAGCTAATTCGTCAACTGCAGTTGCAGAAGTCTTCAATCCATCATAAAATAGGTGTAGGATGTTGTTTCTTATTTTTTCAATCGCCCTACCATTTGGGAACAGTTAATTCAAATTAGTTTCCTGGTCACAGGCCTTGCGCTTTGTCACATTCACTAATAAATTGAATAAAACGTCCTCTGAATTGGAATATTCATACTGAAAACGGTGCTTATTCTCAGAAGTGAATCTGAGCCACTGCATTTTCATCTCGATTTTCATCCATTCCACCTTTGAATCTGGATTAGTTATTTTATCTTCTAGTGATTTGGTGAATAACATATCTTTTTCAGATACTTCAATCACCTGAAACGGTTTTTTCTTACGAGAAGATTATATTACTGCTACCCAGGGCCGGATTATCCATAAGGCGGACTAGGCAACTGCCTAGGGGCCCCGCACCGAATAGGGGCCCCGTGCACGAACAAAAAAACATTTCATTGAACGAGTTCATTTTTGAAAAAG